CGGGTAGGGCAAATGCAGGGCAAGAGGATCTCAGTCCCTGTACTGATGTCCTCCATGGATATGGACTCAGATGGCAGAAGTCAGTGGTGGGGGAGGAGATGAGAGTATCGCTCCCCATCCTCCTTATCTGAGGCTGCAGAAGAAACACAACTTCCCACTGCAGAGAGCGGCCGCAGTAAGGACAGAGCCTGTCGCCTCCCTCTCCGCAACTCCCCTTCTTAGTCCTCTCGAGTCGAAGCAAGATTTCCAGCCTGGAAATTCCCACATGTAAGAGCTACCAGTCACACTGGCCACTCTTCACGCACGCAGGGAGCAGAGACGCGGCAACAGCCTCTGTCTCTCACATCTGCACCCATGTGTGCGTGCCGCGTCCCAGGCAGGCTGGCCAAGGATCCTGTATCCGTGCCAGGTGGACACAGCGGCATGGCAGGGGTCAGCACCATGAGGACACTGGTATTTTCCTGCTAGAATAGGTCTACTGAGACTATTTCTAACTGTGTGCCTCTTTATAGACCCGAGCTCTGCTCGCTGCCTGTATGGAAAAGAACACGGCTATGCTCCCTGCTGCAATGGGATGGTGAGACTGGGAATAGGGTACAGGGACCAGCTGGGAAAACATTAAACCTCACTGGAGCACTGCTGCAAGGGCAGCTCTGAAGATGCACTTGAACTCTTGCTGCTCTGTGTCAGATGCAATGAGTTGATGAGTCATGGAATCATAGAATGCTTTAGGTTGGAAGAGACCTCAAAGACCATCTAGTTCCAACCCCCCTGCCATGGGCAGGGACACCCTCCACTACACCAGGTTCCTCAAAGCCTCATCCAACCTGGCCTTGAACACTGCCAGGGATGGGGCAGCCACAACTGCTCTGGGTAACCTGGTCCACTGTCCTCAGCGGACACAGGCAACATGCATGCTCCTGTTGGCACATGAGAATCAAATCACCAGTTCTGTTGTGCCTTCAAGGGCAGGGGACAGAAATCTGGTAAAACACAGGCTGAGGACAGTGGGCATCTTTTTATGCAAAGGTCCTGTAGTCCCTCTGGATGTGGTTGCCCCAGGTTAAAGTTGCTGTTCTCTGCACCGTAATGCTACTCGCCTGGCCCTGCACTGCTGCCCTGGTATCCCCAAAGGGAGGGAAGGGGGTCTGGGGACCTGCAGCATGAATCCAAGAGTACCTGTAGGATCCTGCAGAGCAGGAAGAGGAGGAGATCTCTGCGCTGAGTTAACCCACAGGCAGATCCTGTTCTGCTGTCCTTCCCTGGAGGTGACACTCGGGTCCAAACATACGGCACAGACACCCTCCACACAGCAGATTTGCAGGCAGGCTGGAGGTGATGCTTTGGCACTTCACAGTAGGCCTCCCATCAGCAGAAGGGACAGGACAGGACCATGTCTTTTTCCTATCACCTCCTGGGACACAGGGGCAGATCCCACGCCAGTTCCCAAGGCCCAACCACCTTTTTAGTCTGGGAAAGCCACTTAGAAGACTAAAGCTGGCATCTCCTCAGAGCATTGCATGGGATATGCCACCTCTTGCCACCACTGTTTGGAGAATCCCTGTATCAAGCTCCAATCTTGAACATCTGGAGACAGTCTGGAGGACTCAGCGTAGCCTTTCCCCAGTGTAGGGACAGACTAAGTCTTTGCATGGTTACTGCCTGAGGTCAGCCCTGACAGCTCAGATGGTTCCTTCATGTCCTGGTTTTGACCGGGACAGAGTTAGTTCTTTTTATCAGCTAGAAGAGCTCTGGGTTTTGGTTTTAGTCTGGGAGTTGTTGGGAGAAGAACGCTGACAGCGCTCTGATGTTTATAGTTGGCACGGAGACCTCAAGGACTTTTCAGCTTCCTGCGTTTTTGCCAGTGAGCAGGAGCACAACAGGATAGCAGGGAGCATAGTCAGGACAGAGGGTCTATGACTGCCCTTAGGATTTGAACTTGGATTTAGGATTGAGGGCCAAACTGGCCAATTCCATATCATGCAGCTCATGCCCAGTATAAAAATGAGGGTTAACTGGAAAGAAGGGCCTTTGCTTTTCCAGGGGCTCTCACTCTCAGACTCTTGGAGGGTTCTCTCTCTCACTCACTCTCCTTCTGGGCCTCTCGCTCGTCCGGGATTGCAGTGCTGGGACTTCTCTGTTTCAGGATCGTTAGTCCAGGACAGGATGGTCCTTGGTCAAAGGGTGGTGAGCAATTACACTGTGCATCTCTTGTTTGTATATATTATTATCATTATACATATATTTATGTTCATATATTAGCAGTAGTATTAAATTGTTCTTATCTCGACCCACGGGTCTCTTTCCTTTTTCCTCTTTGATTCTCTCCCTCATCCCTGGGGGTGGGGGAGGGTGAGAGAGGGAGCCCTTATTTGCCGGCCAGGCTAAACCACGACACTTCAGCAGAACAAACTTTCAAGTCTGGAGAAAAGCAGAAATCCTGCCGCACGGCTCCCGCAGCCGGGCTGTTTGCAGAGAAACCCAACGAGCGTTTCCACGGCCCGTAAACAGGATGTGACAGGGTGCCCGGCCGGCGGGGCGCCAGGAAGCGGTCCGGGGGGGCAAGGGAAGGGCTGGTACTCACTGCACAAGAAGCAGGACTTGTGGAAGCTGCTGCCTTCACACTGCACCTCCTCGGCGAAGTAGACTGCCTTCTGGCACACGCCACACTTCTTTCCTCCTCCCCAGTTGGGCATCCTGCAGAAAAAGCACAGGCAGGAAGAG